CTCTATCCAGAATCCGCCTGCAGGAGGACATGCCCGACCTAAGGGTAGTGGCTTCGGCTACGACGCGCAGGAGAGTGACCCTTCGCTGGAGGGACCTTGGGTGCACGGCGGCCATCGCGGGGCGCTCCGGGGGGGGGGGGGCTGTTCTAACCCAAACGCGCGCGCGCGCAGGCCGCTAGACTTGAGTCGGGCATGTCCCTCCACAGGAGGAGCATCCAACAATAGTCAGAACATCGTATGGTGATGATTTTGCGTGTTTCTTAAAACATGTGTTTGATGTTGTTATTGTTATTGTTGTTGTTGTTGTTGGTGGTGGTGGTGGTGGTGGTGGTGGTGGTGTTGTTGTTGGTGGTGGTGGTGTTGTTGTTGCTGCTATGTTCAAGTTGTCTCTCCACATCCTGTTTTTGTTCGAACATGTTTCATTCTGTTTGGCTGTTTCATCGTTCTTCCCAGACGCGCCTGCAGGAGGACATGCCCGGCCTCACGCTAGACTCGGGCGCCGCATGCAAATACCGGCAAGCCGCGCGTGAAGCCCAGACCTCCGCGGTCCTATTTTGCCCTTCCGCGCGGCCCCCCGTGGAGCTCTGGACCACCTCCGGGGACGTGCTCCGACGGTCCCTGGCCCTCTGCGTGCTGGATCGCTGTTTCACGGCTCCTGAGCCCAGCGGAGGCGCCCGGACGCCGACCGCGACGAGCAATTTGTCTCATGCTTTGCCCGACCCTCCCGTGTTGGGGCCTCGTTCTGAACACGTGGGGCACTTCGGTCGCGATTCCGTCTTTTCCTCCTCCGCCTCCTCCTTCCAGTGCCGTTTTTAATACATGCTCCGCGTGCGGATCATGCATTAAAACATGCAGGGATTTATTATACAACAACGATGAGTTAATGCATACATGTATTTTTACATCAATATTGTATTAGCACATCCTATATTTTCAATCCTATGTATTAAAAACTGCCCTGCCCTTCCCCCTCCTCCTCCTCCTCCTGTCTTCTCCTGTGTCCTGTGCGCTCGTTTGGGGGCTGCGAACTGCGCAGCCGTCGCCACGTCTTCCTCTTCTCCTCCTCTCTCCTCCTCCTCCTCCTCCTTCTCCTCCTCCTGCTCCTCCTGCTCCTCCTCCTCCTCCTCCTCCTTCTTTTCTTCCCTCATCGCCCTCCTCCTTCTCCTCCTCCTCCTCTCTCCTCCTCCTCTCTCCTCGTGGATCTTGTGCGCTCCCTCGGCGGCTACGAACTCTGCCGCTGCCGCCACGTCCGTGGGCTCCTGGGAGGCACGGCGGAGCGGAGGGCAGCAAGGATCATCATTTGAGATGCCGCCGCTCCCTCGGGGCTCTGCGCACCTGTCGCCACGTTCGTGGGCTCCCTTGGAGGCACGGCGGAGCGGCGGGCAGCGCAGGTCATCTGAGACCTCGCGGCTCCCCCATGAGGCCGCGATCTTCGCAACCCTCGCCGACGTGGCCTCGCGGCTCCTTCGTGGGCTGGGCTGCGAGCTGCAGCCAGTTGTCGCTATGTTTGTGGGCTCCTGGGGGGCACGGCGGAGGGGAGGGCACCGCAGACCGTCTGAGACCTCGCGGCTCCGTAGGGGGCCGAGAGCTGCGCAACTGTCGCCAGGTTCGTTGGCTCCTGGGAGGCGTGGCGAAGTGGAGGGCAGCGCAGATCATGTGCGACCTCGCGGGCCTCGTCGGGGGCTGCGAGCTGCACAACTGTCACCACGTTCGTGGGCTCCTGGGAGGCACGGCGGAGTTCAGGGCAACGCGGATCATTTGGAACCTCGTTGCTCAGTCGGGGCTGCGAACAGCGCAACTGTCGCCGTTATCGCGGGCTCCTGGGAGGCACGGCGGAGTGCAGGGCAACGCGGATCATTTGAGACCTCGCGGTTCATTCGGAGGTTGCGACCTGCGCAGCTTTCGCCGCTTTCGTTGGCTCCTTGGGGGCACGGCGGAGTACTGGGCGCCCATAGGGCGCGTGCCCACATGGCGCGGGGTGCCGATCCCCGTCATTTAGCGCGGTGCTGTTGCACCACAGAGCGCAGAGCGCCTGAGCATCACGTAGCGTGTGGCGCTGTCCTGAGTGGCCCCTTCCCCCCGCCCTCCTTCAGGTACAGGTCGCCGCCTACAGCAGCAGCTGCTGCAGCAGCATCAGCAGCAGCAGCAACAGCAACAGCAGCACCAGCACCAGCAGCAGCAACAACAGCAGGAGCAGCAGCAGGGGTGAACTATCTCCGATGCTCCGTGTCGTTCTGTCGTCGCCGTCCATCTTGCGATCGGCGATCGGAGTCGCGCAGGTGTGCGGCGCGAGTGGCCCGACACTGTTTGCCGAAACACGTCAGAGTGCTGCGTATGTCGCAACGTGTTCTTCCTTCGAGGAGGAAGAGGAGGAATAATCATAATAATAATAATGAGAAGGAGCAATAATCAGAAGACTACTAATAATATGATTCAGAAGTAGGAAGAAGAGTAATAACAATACGACTATTAATAACAGTAAGAATAATACTAATAATACTAATGATAATACGAAGCAGAATAGTAACATCAAGACTAATCATAATACTACTACTGCTACTACGACTAATAATACTATGAAGAAAAATAATTTGAAGACTAACAATGAAAATGATAAGGAGAGGAGGAGGAGGAAGAGGAGGAGGAGGAGGAGGAGGAGCAGGAGGAGGAGGAGGAGGGGGAGGAGGGGAGCGTTCTAGTCGCCCCGCGTGGACGAGGGATGGGGCGCGCCTCGGGCCATCTCCCACACGCAGGAGGCGCGGGAGGGCCACCCTCGCCCAGGGCCCGTTGCCTGCGTGCAGCCGGGGTGCCCCCCCCCTTCGGCTGCCACTCCTGGGAGGTCACATTCTGATGTTGCCCGGGTCCGACATCCGGCTTCATCTGGCTTCGTTCCGCTCAATCCGGCTCAGTCCCGCTTCATCCTGGTTGCTCCGAGGCCCATTCCGGCGCAACAGCCCCCCCCCCCAATGGGGCCTCATCCTCTTCAATCTTTCCGATGAAAACCTCCCAGTTGTTGCCTCCCTTAACCCCTCGTCTCCGCCCCCCCTCTTCTCCTCGAAGCCGGGCGCCGAGGCCCCGACGACCGATGCCCGCCCCCGCGGCGACCCGGCCCGCGGGTGCGCCGCCCGGCGGCGCGCGCGCGGGAGGGCGCGCAGGCCGCCGTGAGCCATGGCGGCGTACGCCTGGTCCCAGCTCGCCTGCGACGCCGCGGCCCTGGCGGTGCAGCTGCTGCCCGTCTTCGCCGCCGCGCGCGGGCGGGGCGCCCTCCGGGGGGCGGCCTCGACCGCCGCGACGGTGCAGGCCCCGGGGGGGGGCCAGAGAGGGGGGCAGGGGGCGGGAGGGAGGGAGGGAGGAGGGAGGGAGGACGGCGGGCGGAGGAGGGGACGGGCGCGGGTGGAGAGGGGCGGAGGGAGGGGCGGGGAAGGTGGGGAGGAGGGAGGAGGGGGGAGAGGGGGGGAGGGGGGAAGGAGGCCCGCGCGGGGGCGGGGGAAAGGTCCGGGTCTCCCTGACGGGGTCCGGGTAAATGGGGTCGGAGGATCGCGTTGCGTCGCCGATGCGTCGGCTGTGGCTCGATGTGCAGCCCGATGTTCTCCACGCCAGCGCCGCCGATACACTGCCGACGTCCATCGGCGAAACGGCGCGATCCTCCGACCCCACCTACTCGGATCCCATTGGGGAGGCCACTAAGAGGTCAGGAGAGGATCTGTGGGGGGAGATCGGACAGGAGAGGCGGGATCGAAGGGGTGTGCGTGGGTTGGGGGGTGGGGGGCAAGGGTTGGCCGTCAGCCCACGAGCAGGTCGGGCTCCAGACGCTGTTCGGCGCCATCGTGTTCACCGCGTTCTTCATGAAGTCGGGCAGCTCCTTCATGGAGCGGCGGGTCGGGATGTGGGGAAGGGGAGGGGGTTGAACGTGGTAAAGAGAGGGCAGGTGGTGGAGGAGGAGGAGGAGGAGAGCGGCAGCCTTCAGAGAACACCGTCAGGAAATCAGGATGATGATGATGAGCAGGAGGAGGAGGAAGGAGGAGGAGGAGGAAGACATGAATGGAGACGGCGACACGAACGAAGTGGGATCAGGACAAGGCAGAGGTGAAAGGGCCCACGTGTTACTAGTGTGGAGGATCTGGGCACGTTGCCAAAGACTGCACCACTAAATGAACCGCGAGATGAACATGTTCTTGGAAAACGGGAGTACAAAGGAGTCAATGGGGCACGCAGGGGCGTAGGCAGGGGGTACACATGTGGATTTGAAGTATAAAGGCACCAGGGGTTGCCCGAAGGGGGACGTCAAGGGAAGCCTCAAAAGAGATGATCCAGGAGGCTACCAAGGGAGCCAAGCCCCAAGCTGGAATGGAGGAGGCAAGGGAGGATGCGTGCCGATCACTGAGAGGGGGGTTAAACACAGGGTTGACGGGGTCACGTCGCAGCCCGCTGCCCCAGAAAACCAACGAGGTCACCCCGGTTCACGGGGGACCATGAGGCACAGGAGATTCCGCGCAAAGGTTGGGTCAACCCTTACCTGGGCTGGGATGCTATAGTGTTACGTCGGGCCTGTCCCTCTACAGGGGGAATGTCCAGAAATAGTCAAAAAGTAGTCTGGGGAGGATTTCTTTACCATTTTTGCTAGGGTATTTTGTTGACTGTTGTTCCCCACAACCGAAGTGGGGTTCTTGTTTTCTCTGGACACCCCGCGCAGGAACCAGAACCAGAACACACCTACATCATCACCCACTCATCATCATCATCATCATCATCGTCATCATCATCATCATCATCATCATCATCATCATCATCATCACCATCATCATCATCATCATCATTCTCACCAATATCATCATCATCAACGTTATCGTCATGCGATCACCCACCATCATCATCACCATCAGCATCATCATCATCATCATCATCATCATCATCACTCATCATCATCAGCATAATCCCCTTCGTCACCCACTCACTCACTCATCACTTCGTCATCACTCACTCGTCTGTGAGTGAATCCCAAAGAAGTCTCAGGCGGGAGCCTCGTCTGTGAGTGAATTGAGAGGAAGTCTCAGGCGGGAGCCCCCTCCCTATGGGGCCCGCAGATCATGTTCCTAATCCGAGCGGGTCATCCGCAACGTTTAACTGTCGTCAGTTTTGGGCTCCTCGGGCTTGAATATGGAAGAAGTATCGAGCGGGAGCCTCGTCTGTGAGTAATTTGCGAGAAAGTCTGAGGCGGGAGCTCCTCCTTATGGGGCCCGCAGATCATGTTACGAATTCGAGCGGGTCATCCGCAACGTGTAACTGTCGTCATTTTTGGGCTCCTCTGGCTTGAACATGGAGGAAGTATCGAGCGGGAGCCTCGTCTGTGAGTAAATTGCGAGGAAGTCTCAGGCGGGAACCCCTCCTTATGGGACCCGCAGATCATGTTACTAATCCGAGCGGGTCATCCGCAACGTGTAAATGTCGTCACTTTTGGGCGTTTCAGGCTTGAATATGATGCGTCTGTGACTAACTTGCGAGGACATCTCAGGCGGGAGCCCCCTCCTTATGGGACCCGCAAATCATTGTACTAATCCGAGCGGGTCATCCGCAACGTGTAACTGTCGTCACTTTTGGGCTCTTCAGGCTTGAATATGAAGGAAATATCGAGCGGGAGCCTCGTCTGTGAGTGACTTGCGAGGAAGTCTCAGGCGGGAGCCTTTCTTTATGGGGCCCGCAGATCATGTTCGAATCCGAGGCCGGTCATCGGATTTTACTAACTGTCGTCACTTGGAGGTCTGAGGACCGATTTTAGGACCGATTTTGAGGATCGAAGGGGAACTCGCACGGAGGTGCCTCATCCCACTCGCGGCACGATCGGGAATGATGACGCATCATGATGGTGGGTCCCGCAGCTACACGAGTCCTCGGGTTTTCGTACCTGTCGTCACTGTTGTGCTCCGAGGAAGAGGAGGAGGAGGGGGAGGCGGAGGAGGAGGAGGAGAAGGACGAGGAACAGGAACTGAGGAGGACGACGGCGGCCGGGCGCAGGGGGAAACCCTTGCGTCCGGGCCGGGGTTGGTAACCCATCCTCGGCCGAATCGGGGGCAGGGGTAACCCCTTGTCTCCGGGCCGCCGGTGGTAACTCATCGGCGGCCGAATCGGGCGCAGGGGTAGCCCCTCGCGTCCGGTCCAGGGGTGGTAACCCATCCTCGGCCGAATCGGGGGCAGGGGTAACCCCTTGTCTCCGGGCTGGCGGTGGTAACCCATCGTCAGCCGAATCGGGCGCAGGGGGGAACCCTTGCGTCCAGGCCAGGGGTGGTAACCCATCCTCGGCCGAATCGGGGGCAGGGGCGCTGACGACGACGGCGAGGCCGAGGCGCGGGCGAGGAGCTTGCTCATGTTCAGGCCCAGCGAGCAGGAGCTCACGTGGCAGAGCTCGGGGGCGCACGCTGTGCGCCGCTCGGGGTTCACGCTGACGCACGCGTCCTACCTGACCTCCACGCTGTTGCAGGGCCAGACGCTGCGCAAGGGCGTCACCATCGACTGCGCCAGGAATGAGGACGCTGGCCGCACGGGCATGTCGGACGAGCAGTGGTGGCTGCACCTCTACGTCATGTTCTCCCGCGCCACGCGCATGCGGAACATGCTGATCCTGCGGCCGCCCGCGCGGGAGTTCCTAGAGCGCGGGCCGCCGGCGTCCTTGCGGAAGGCGCTCCAGGAGTTCGACAAGAGAGCGGTGGGCCCCAGGGCCGAGGCGGAGCAGCTCGCGGCAGAGCTGGGCTTCGTGCTGCCTCCCGCCTGAGCGCGGCCGCGATTAGCTCGGTGCCTGCGGGGTTGCACCAACGGCTTGCTCTCGCGCCCCAGCGGCTCGCGGGGTTGCCCCAACGGCTTCGCGATCTAGCCGTCGGCAAACGCGCGCCTGATTGCCGCGGCGGCGAGGGCGCCGAGGAACGTCGATTTGATTGCCCCGACCAGGGGGGCGGGGAGGTGCACATGGAGAAGAGGCAGGCGCAGGATGCGGAGGGAAGGGGTGCGTGGAGAGGGTGATGATGAAGAGGAGGTGGAGGAGGAGGAGGAAGAGGAGGGGAAGGGCGATGATAAATAGAAGGAGGAGGAGAGGGAAGAGCAGAAGGCGAGAGGAGACTGTCCGCCAGAGGGAGGAGGGAAGGGCTAAGGGGAAGCTGAACAGATTCTCATGCGGGGTCCTACCGTCGGAGTAATTTATTTTTCGTTTAACATCGCACTGTATGGGGACATGCCCGACTCAGCTGTAGCGCCAGAGTGGGCGAAACCACTGGCGCGGGTGGAGCTGCCGGCAGCGCCGCGGCGCGGCAGCGCCGCGGCGCTCCAGCGCCGGTCGAAGAGGGGCGCATGGGGGCAGGGGCGGAGGGCTCAGTACCAGGAGACAGAGGCCAAGAGGGGACAAAACACACAGACACTTTTTTGATTTGCAGGGCGAGAGCGAACCTCTTCCGCTGAAAGCTAACCGGGACGCGCACAGCTTTAATTGGCAGAGAAAGGGCGGAAGAAGGCGGGGCCTCACGCGGCCAGGGGCGGGCGAAGCCCAGGGATCAGGCGGTGCCGAAGAGGACGTGCAGGAAAATGTACACCTTGGACAGGAGCCCGGTGGTGAAGTCCCGGGAGGAAAAAAACCGGTGGGAGGGGACACAACACAGACACAATAATCGTCGATTCCTCGGAAAATATATGAAAATATCGGAAGTGGGGGGGGAAGACAAACATCCAGAAAATATGGGGAAATGTGGTGGATCCTGTGATTTGTGTCTGTTTATTTGTGTGTTCCATGGCCCCTTTTCACAAGGGGAGGAACGGGGTGGCGAGGTTCGAGATCAAGAGGAGGCACGTACCACATTGGTGCAATGTTCATTGCGACCACAGCACCAGCAGGGCAGCCGAATCACATAATGCATCGAGAAGGAGAACAGTTGGATGGGAAAGTGCGCCGAACTGCACCTTGTGGAGAGGGAGGGGCCCGACAAGGTAATGGAGGATGACGATTAATAAATGACCAGGGGTCGTGTTCACGCGGCGGCGCCCGGGATGACGATTAGAAAAAACCGGCCGCGGGCTGGAAAACTATGTTCTTTAATCGTTCTCCGCCAGTGAGAAAATTGTGCAGACATGACAGAAAACATTTTTTCAATCGTTCCCCCCTCATTTTTTATTAATCGTCATCCCGCATTAACGAGGTGTCAGTGAGGGGCCAGGGCACACGACGCTGTCGGGCTGCACGGCTTCCGTATATACGGGGGCCCGTTTCCCCGTTAAACCCGCGGTGGCCCCCGGGAGCCGTAAACATTATGGCTCAGCCAACGGGTCAGTTATTCGTGACCGTGGGCATCGAGTTATTGTTGGCAGAGGCTGAAAAGGAGTCCACGGTGAGCACGTTTCCATGTGGCCGATGTTTAAACGGTGCCCACGGCTCCGCGTGAAGCAGCACTCTGTTGTAGTAGCCAACGTTTACATGGTGGAAGCAGGAAAACGTGAAGTGTTATATCGACAAAACGATGGGCGATCCTGCAGTTACCCTGAGCATGGAACAACGGTGCAGAAAACGACGATCCATGAGAAAAACGTTAACTTCCATGTCGCCGCGCGGGCCCCGAAAAGGCGTGGCAGGCCTGGTGGGGGCGAGGGAGGTCGGGGAGGTGAGCGATGGGAGAGGCGTGGGCTGCCCCAGGCAGGGAACACTCTTGGCGGACGTGTTTTATTTAAAGAGCCGAAATTTATACACCGATGCTTTGTTTTCCGGTTCCGCACTGATATTCGCACAGGAGAACGGATTCTGGTGTAAACGGCATCCTGGTGTATACTTTGTTTGTCGTTTCCACGTGAAAACGGGGAAACAAGTATACACCACACCACCCCGACGTCGTCCCCGACCCTCACAAAATCTTGGGATTGAAAAACAGCCCGCCGCTGGTAATGTATACGTTCCAGTTTCGGGCTATTGTGTCCGAGGAAGCCCGTGAACCCCAGTCGAAACTAACCATCGGGAGTTTGGAGGATGCAGAAGAGGGCGGGGGGTGGGGGCTGTGAGTTCAGTGGCACGAGGTTCGCACTGGTCGGCGGGGAGGTGGAGGCACCTGGGAGGATCTCGCATGATGCAGGACTGCGCAGAGCAGAGAATAAGCTGAGTTGCCAGAACTCACGCGACCGGCGGCTCAATTGCGCCAGGGGAAGAGCCGGGAGGAGACCCCACGGGAAGAAGTTAAGTCTGCTGGGACAATGCGCGCGGGTGGTTTCAGTTGACTACATGTAGTTAAGCGGGAAGAGATGTGACGGCCAGGAAGGAGGCAGAGGGAACCCAATCACCGCCATGCTTTGCTAGGACGCTATGCTAACCTGAAACCAAGTTTTATCGGTAACGGGCACGGGCCCGTGCTCAGTCAAGGTATTTTGTGTTATGATTTCAAAGGGTGATCATCAAAAGCGGTGGGGCGTCATCCGGTACGGCGCTCAAGACTGCTGTCGAATCCTCGTGCGACCTTGACGCGGGAGCGGAAGTCAGTCTAGTCGGAGGCCGTCAAGCGAATGATGGAGTCGAAAACGCAATCAGGAATTTACAAGGTCAGATTCGGACGTTTAAGAATGCTTCGGCGACAAGTATAAGATTCAACTCGGGGAGGATCATGCCCTCGCACCTTGGTTAGTGCCTTGCGCATCTTCTCTCGCCGATTAGTTCACGATGGACGCTGGTGGCAAGACGGCCCGCGAGATGTGCCGATGGCGGAACTTCCGCCGACCTGTACCCGAGTTTTGGAGATTGCGTCGTGCACCTGGTGACTCCGCCTAACCAAGGAGCCGGCGACTTTGAAACATTGTGGGAGAGTGGCTCTTTCCTGGGAATACATGAAACCAGCCCACAGTTGAGTGCAGACTCTAAAGAGGGCGTCATCAAGTCACGCGGGTTTAGGCATAAGGGGAGCGGCGAGGAGAAATTGCATCTAGATGAGGTCAACAACGTGCAAGGGTTACCCTGGCAACCGGGCGTGGACGCGCTCCGAATGGAAGATAGTGCCAGGGTGGTGGCGGTGCGCATTCACTGTTTAGCTGCAGGTGTCCAGCCATAGTACCTTAAGGCGTCGCAGTGATGACGTCGGAGTCCATGGCCATGGTACTTGCGCCAGGTTGTTATGGATGTATAGAAGTAGCCAGAGGTGATGCAACCCGCAGTAGTGCAGAATGTCCAGAACGCGTTATAGAGTGGCCTAGAGGGCAAGGCGATCGGATCATCCAGGAGGGAGTGGCAGCAGCTCAGATGCGGACTGGGCCCGGCAGTTCCCACCAGGACAGCAATACAACCAATCAGTAGACATGTGGGATGTTCAAGACGAGTGCGCCTCTCCTCTCGGCAGCATCGTGAAGCCAGGGCCACAACGCAGATCATGACGATGAGGATTATGCTGGTGATGATGATGACTATGCTGATGACCAGGAGGAGGAGGATGAGAAGGAACATTATCATGATGATGATGTGGATCTTGCTGATGATGATGTTGATGATGATGATGCTGATGATGATGATGATGATGGTGGTGATGATGATGATGATGATGATGATGACGATGATGTGGAGGAAGAGAAGAGGAGGAGGAGGAGGAGGAGCAGGAGGAGGAGGAGGAGGAGGAAGAGGAGGAGAAAGTGGTGGAGGAGGAGCAGGGGCGGCGGGAGGAATATCAGGAGGCAGACGAAGGGGAACAGGACGAGGAAGAGGAGGGGTGTCGGGATGAAGATGGTGAGAAAGATGATTTGAGAGTGGGAAGGTAGATGGTGAGGAAGAGCGCGAGAGGGGGGGCTGGAGGAGTGCGCGTCCACCGACTGCGGCCCCCTCTGGCGCGAGCTGGACCTGGAGTCCAGGCACCTGCGGCTCGTGCTCTTTGTCCTGGCGAACTATGCGGTCGCGGCTGCCTCACCGTCCCCTCCACAGTGTGATCTGTTTGTCTCGTCGCGCGCGCTCCATCTTGAGTCAGGCTTGTCCCTCGACGGCGGGAATCCTCAAACATAGTGAAAGTTGTCTGGGGACGAATTTCTGCGATTATTTGTTGACAGTGTTTCCATATGTTTGGGGTATATTTCCTCTTTTCATTTTTCTTTCAACTTCTGCCTGCAGGAGGACATGCCCGACCTAAGCTCAGTCGTTACCATCGCTCCCGTTGCCTCCTCTTTAGCATACGTGCCCCGTCGTTGCGGGCGGTTGGCGCAACGTACCCGAACGACTGGACGGAGTACTGCATCGCGCGTGGCCGCGCCCGGGCAGGAAGCGGTGCGCTCGCCGTCTTTACCGCGCGCAGCACTTATAACTGCTTGCTGTGCTTACCGAGTATACCACGCCATGGAGCCATCATCCGATTACAAGACCAATATGACAGGATCCCAGGAGCTGCGAGGGAGAAGAGCAAGGAGAGTCTTCGATCGCCAGGAACTGACGATTCTCTGGCCAAGGACTGGTTAGAAGGTATGATGGATGAAGTTCCTGGCGGTCGCCACAGAAGCTGCAACGTGAAGAGTCAATGTGCCTGTGGCGACGAGGAGAAAGAAGACAAGTCCCTTTCAGACCGTGTCAGGTAGCTCCTTATTGACGGTGCGGGTCGTGAAGCATTTGATGTGCTCATCCCCGAGGAGAAGTCCCAACCCTCCAGCTGCGGAGGCGAATCCCTTCGGCAGTCAGAGCAGGCCTCGGAGATGTCCACCATCTCTAAGTCCACGCTGGGGGAACCCAGTCAGAATCGGACCGAGCTGGCTTGAACGCTGAACGCCGCTTGAAGGATGCAGAGGAAAGAGCGCTGGCTCTTCGAATGAAGAAAGCTGTAAACGTAACCCGAGTGGTCTAGATGGCGGCCGCGAGGAACCGCGAGGCAGAGATGGCACAGGCAAGAGATACGCACGTGCTAAATCTCCAACACAGGCAAAATAGAGATGGCACGGGCAAGGGAGACGCAAGAGAAACCCCTCAACCCCCCACCTACCCAACCCTGGAATATCAGAAACCCGTCAAGGGAGGCGACACCCCCCATACACCCCCAACCCGTGACCTCAGAAACCCCTCCTGGAGGGTAAAATCTCCCAACCCCTCACCTCAGAACAACAGAAACCTTTCACCCCCCGTTTGAGCGGTCAGGGGGGCCTGTTGTTGGGACCCTCTTGGCTGGTCTTCGCGCTTTCTGGCCTCAGGATAGGTCGTGCGAGAAGCTCCAAGGGGTTCGCGACACAAAACGCACGGGAGCGTCTAGGAAATCCCTTCCCCTTCTCCCTCCTCCTCCTCCTCCTTCTCCTCCTCCTCCTCCTCCTCATTCTCCTCCGCATCCTTGATCATTTGGCGAAAAAGCCATGCACGAAACCAAAACAAAAACAGGGACTGGACGTCCGAGCGATGGCGAGTGTCCCCCCCCATCCTGGGGTTCTGATCCACTGTCTGCCATCCTGTCGCAATTTTTGGGCGTCTCACAAGCGTGCCTCGATATCAGCACACAGTGTGGCTTTGAACCGGATTTGTTTGCTTGTGACGCATCCCGCGCCCGAGGCGCCCGATCCCCCTAGTGCGCCCAGGACGCAGTTCGGGGGCCGATCTCGCTTCATAGCGGGGCGCTCCGCTCGGTTTCGGCAGCTGCTCATCTCATAGTCGTGCGTGTGCGTCCTCTCCTCTCGTCTCCGCCCCCCCTTTGTCGCGTCGCCGCCCGCCCGCGTTTGGCCATCGACCTCGCCTTCCGGGCGCCCTTCGCCTTGCCGCGGCGGCTCCTGGGACGAGGGCCGCCCTCCCCTGCCACTCGAGGCGCGGCGCTCCTCCTCCCGCATCCCCACGGCTCGCCTTGGGCTCGTTTTGCAAACTGTGGCCGTCGCTCTCATGCCGAAGTCATCATCTCCGACTTTGGACGGGCCTCCTGAGCCACGAAGCCTCCTTCCTCCTCGCTCCGTCCTCGTCCCCCTCGCTCTCTCGCTGGATGCTCGGTTTGACGAACTTCCTGGAGTCCACCTCATGGACTGTTCTGTCCTGGTTCTGCTCCAGCGAAACTGCAGTCCGACTCTCGTCCGACTCAAACAGGACCCAAGCTCGGCCCAAGGTGGCGACCGACGACGTTCGACGCAGCATGGGCGCACGAGGGGGTCCAGAGGCTCCAGGGGGCCCCCAGAACGAGCATCTGTGCCTCCTCCTCTCCGCCACCCTCTGGCCAAGAGGTCGCGGCCACCGCGGCATTCCTGGCGACCGCGGCGCCCGGCGGCGGCAAGAAGCACCACCTCGTCAGGACCGCCGCGGGTGTGAACGCGCGCCGGGTGATGCCCGCGAGCGGCTTCGAGACCCCAGCGAGGCCCCGCGGCCGGCTGTCCAGCCGCTCTCTCCGTGGCCAAGGGGTTGGGAGGGCCGGCACCGGAGCCAGCAGGGCCGTCTGCAAAGCTCAAGGCGCGTGGGTCAGTCGTGTGGGCTCCTCCCCGCGCGCGGCCGCCCTCGTCTTCGTCTCTCTCCCTCTCTCTCTCTCTCTTGCCTTGTGGAGGACGATCAACGGAGAGGAAGCATGTTGCCAAATAATTTCCAGATGTCTAGAACATGTTTCAAACATGTTTGACGTATGTTAAAACCATGTTTGGAACCTTGTTAGAACATAGTTTACACATTTAAAGCATACCTCTAATTCAATGACAGGATTGCTAGAGTGTCCATTGTCATGGAACCCAAAACTCTTGCCCGCCGGACAAGTCGCCCATCGGTTGCCCCGAGTAGCCTTGCGCTAGTGCGGACGTCTTCTGCCTCGCCGCCGGCTGAAAAAAATGCAGTGGAGGCGTTTGTTCAGGAGTAGTCCCTGAAGGCGCCAGACCCTGGAGAGGACTCCTTCTCCAATGAGGGCGGCGGTGGTGCCCATGGCCGATCCACGATTGGAGTTCCACTGGCTTCCAGACCCTGGATTCCCGATCCAAGGGTTCCCTGTTTGGGCTTCTGCGCGAAGCATGATGTTCAACACGGGTAACCAGGCCCCTGCCGTGTGTCAGTCGTGTGGGCTTAGCAGCAGGCGCAAGCAGGGACCCGGATGCGCGTGGATATTCGCGACGGGCCCCGCTCTTCCGTGCAGGAAGTCGGCGCTCGCTCCGCCTCGCCAGCTATCGGGCGGCGCGCCGGCTTTGTGCCTCGGTGTGTGTGTGTGTGTATATATATATATATATATATATATATATTGCCCGCTCCGTGGGTGTGGCGCCCGCGCGCCAGGTTCGCACATCCCTGACCCATGCTACCCAGAGCACCCCCGGGCAATGAAGAAAGCATGACGGGGGGGTTTGGGCCATTCTCGGCCTCTGGGGGCCCTTACCGGCCCTCGAGACCGTCAAAAAGCAATTCAGAATGACAAACCGGTCCAGGGGAATGGGTCGAGACCTCCAGGGGTCGAGACCTCCAGACATGCTCGCGTCGTGCAAAAAGGCAGGGCGGAGGCTTTTGTTGCGCCGCTCTCGGGCCCGGGAGGCCCTCGCCGCGCCTCGGGGCCGCCAGAAAACGGCTCAGGATGAAAAGCCAGTCCTGGGGAGAGGGTCGGGACTTCCAGGGACGCCGTCCTGAAAAAGTCAGGGCGTCGCATGTCTGGGTACACATCCCTAGTCCATGCTAGCGCCTGCCCGGCTCCGCCGAGGCGCGGCGACGTCGCTCGGGAGGGGAGAGGAGCAGCTCCGACACGCCGCCGTAGGGAGCGCGGCAGGGTGTGTCTCCCTCGTGTCTGGTCCCAGGACCCGGGGTGTCTCTTCGACGTGCGGCACGCTGGTGGGCTTCCCGCGGCGGCGTGTCATTGGTATTGTTTCTGCTCGCTCCCCCAAAGCCAGGAGGCAACAGAAACGCAGACACAATTCATCGTCGATCCCCAGGGGAAATGTGGGAACATATGGGAAGTGGGGGGGAAGACGAAAGCCTAGAAAAAATGTGAAAATGTGGGGAATCTTGCTATTTGTGTGTGTGTATTTACTTGTGTGCCCCGGGGCCCCTTCACAAAGGGTCAGCCCCTGGCGGGGAGGCACACAATGCCCACCCCCCCGAAGACCAGGAGCTGCCCAACCATCAGCTGTCGGAGCGCCGCGCGGATGTCCGGGGCCGGCGCTCGCGGGCCCCCCTCGTGGGAGGGAGCCCAGCAGAGTCCCGCGCCGATCCAAGCTATCCGGGGAGCAGTAGCTCACCAGCCTGGGATCGGGGGCGGCAAAGAGGGGGGTGATGACTAGGGGGGGGTGGATATCATGGCGGGGGCCATGATATTTCCCCAGATCTCATGGCGCCTCTTCTTACTTCATTACGTCCCTGGCCCCCCCGCTGGGCCGCGCACACGCCGCCGGTCATGATTTGCACCCCCCCTCTTGGACACCCCCTTCTTGACCGCTCCCGATGGGAGATGCCCCAATCCCTGTGATTGGCATCGCCCCCCCTCTCGATGCTGTTCGTGAGAGTCCGAGCCCCCTCAATTTTCGAGGGCGCCTCCCCGGGCTTGTCCTCGGCGTGTGCATCTCAGGGATCGGCAGAAGTTCGAGGCTGGAAGCAGTGTCGGCGCCACACCGGTCGGACGATCCCAGCAGCGCGTCCCGGTATTGTAGGAGGGCTGAGGTAGTGAACGGGAGGCGCAACGAGCAGCACGCGCACGGTTGGAGAGATGGCGTGCGCGTGGCACTGCTGCTGTCCATGCCCTCCCGAGAGAAGTCGGGTGCTGCTGGGCAGAGTGCCCCTGGGCCAAGGAGGCCCCCAGGATGGTCAAGGAGGCCCCACACGGCCCCCGAAACCAAGCCCCATCCAGGGGTCCCAGGGCCTCCAATCGGCAGCGAGCGAGGGGGGAAGTGAGAAGGAGAAGGCCTTCTCGGCAGGTTCGGAAGTCTCCTGGCCTTCTGAGAAGTGTCTTCTCCGACGACAGACATCAAAGACTTCTCAGACGGCGCGAGGGCGTCTGAGAAGTCCCGCCGCCTTCTGAGAAGGCCTTCTCCTTGTCGTGTCCCCCCGTCGCTTGCCGCCGATCCAAGATGGAGCGAGAAGCAGGGGGCACCTTCGGACAGGGGCACTTCCGGCAACACCCGCAGGGATCGGTGTGTGGTCATGCTGCTTTCTTGGCATCGCCGTGCCCGCGGTTGGAGGCGCCTCGAGCAGGCAGGTCGCCGGGAAAAACAGCCGCACCACACCGCCGCCAGAGGACCCCTTTGTTGCGCCCCTGGCCGTGTTGGTGGTGGTGCCGCTCTCCCTTGATGGGCCTGGACCCCTTTGTTGCGCCCCTGGCCGTGTTGGTGGTGGTGCCGCTCTCCCTTGATGGGCCTGTTTTCCACCACCGCCACCATCAGTTGGATGGGGGGAGAACTTTCCCGACTTTCCCCCCAGGACGACGTCCCCTTGGATGGGGGGAGAATGAGGAGGGGGAGGAGGAGGAGGAGGAGGAGGAGGAGGAGGAGGAGGAGGAGGAGGAGGAGGAAGAGGAGGGCTCCCTCCCCCTCCAACTTATGGTGGTGGTGGTGGACAAAAAACCCAGCATCTCTGGCTCCTGCGTCGGGAGGGGGGAAGAGTATCGGTGGCACGCTGCCGTTGCTGGCCCCACAGCATGTCGCTCTTTCGCTCTTTCGCTGTTGTCCAGAAGCATGGTGTCTCTTGAGCAACAGTAGCACGCTGATGGGATCCCGACGGCGGTGTCATTGAGACTGTTGATGTTGGAGCCCCGACTACGTACCCATCAACAAAACCAGATCCAAGCGCCTGGCGCCGTGAACACATGACGCCGTTGCGGCTGAAGGCCGAAGCAGCTTCACACGGTTCCCGACGGGGGGGCACGATGGTGACCGTTCTCTTCTGCATTGTTTTGCCGATCGGCGCGGGCCCTCGCACTCCCCCTCCCCCCCAACTTGGCTGTTCTTGGCGCCTGTTTCAGGCACGTGGAGTCCCTCCCCCATGGGACGCACTGTTGCAAACCGTTGCATTAAGCAGAGGTCTGGAGCCAGACCCTCCCCCCCTTTCCGCCCAATGTCGAAACAACGAATAACAAAAAAGTTCACAAGGGGGACCACGATGGGAGGCCAACGACGGGGGGGGGGCCAACGATGGGGGAGCCAACGATGGGGGGCCAACGATGGCCCAACGATTTCGAGGCTCGGATCCGGATCGTGGGGGGCCACAGTGGGCCAACGATTTCGGGGGCCCAGCATCCCTCACCGGGCGCGAGAAGCGTGATGCAGAAGCCTTGCAGGCAAGCCACCTTTGGAAAACGAGCAAAAGGGCAAGCGCGTCTTTTTGTTCCAGGCCTGGGCCCCGGGAGGCCCCGTTTCGGGGCCCCGGGCCCACAGCAAGGCCCTGCCGCGCGAGGCTCGCAAGCTCCACATATGGGGCAGAGAGCTCCAGAGGGCCCCGGTGGGTGGAGCCACACGCAGGACCTCGGAGGACTTCTCTGGGGGCCTCCTTCCCGGGCCCACAACAAGAGCCCTGCCGCGCGACGCTTCTCCAAACTCCAGAGGGGGCAGGGAGCTCCCAGGGCCCTGTGGGTGGAGCCAAGCGCAGGACCTCATCGAGGACTTCTGCGTGCCT